GCCCATTCAGTACATTTTTCTTAATTTTCTTAAACCTGGCCTAATTCCACCTTAAATTAACGTTAAACAGCTTTATTAAGGCAAATTGACTTCAATCTCTGGGCTCCCCAGGAGCTGGCAGGCTCCAGCGGCTCTGAAAGTACTTTGTGCTGTTCCACACGTCGAGGAACATCAAGGCTGGGAATATGAACGCCTAGATGATTAAGAGGCACTGTCCTTTGTCAGGGCTTTAATTGCTCACAGTAGGACTGCTGTTAATGGCGGCCTCGTGGTTCCCATCTTTCTCATGCTGCACCCCGCAGCCAGCTCGGAGAAAGATGGAGAAATCCAACCCCAGCACAGGTCTCCTGTGTTTCTCAGAAAGAAAGTGGGGGCTGAGGAAGTAGCAGCGAATGCCACAGTACCCACAGCATCCTAGTAATGGCCTGGCTTGCTTTCTTTCTGTGAGAACCCAGACAGACAAAGGTCCTGTCTTGAGCAACGGGGCATTGCATAAGATGGTAAGACCACAGGGGACCAGCGAACAGGGTGTTTTCAACTTCTGCCAGCCTGCACACGGGCCAGGAAGGGTTGAGTCGCCTCATTCCCACTCAGCTCAGACTCCTGCTGCATAACCACGGAGAGTGAACCTTGGTCTAGCTGGGAGAAGTCAGTTAAAAACTAAGGCGTGCGTCAGCGTGGAGAATGGACAGACTTGGGAGAGGAGAGGAAAAGGGAGGAGGAGAGGGAGGGAGGGGAAGAGAGGAGAGAGGAGTGGGGTGTGTTGAATGTGGCTACGGACTGGGTGAGTGCCCACAGTCGCATGGATGGACAGCACAGGAGTGTGCACATCTGTGTTCACGCCTCTGTCATTCTAGATGGATGATGGACAGACATGGGAGTGAATGTTTTTCTCTGTGTATAGAGGGATAGACAGATGGATGCATGTGTATGCACACACACACACACACACACACACACACACACACACGCACGCACATGTTAAATATCGCCATCCCTGGGGTCCAGCAGCAGCACACCCACAGCCCACCCCATTTTATGTAACTTCGACCTTCTCTTCCAGGTCTTCAGAGGCAGAAGGAGCTCAGCTGCCTCCCACTCTGCAGGTTGCCCTGCTTCCCTCTGGATGAGCAATTTTGCCTCTGCTGGGCAGACAGCTGTACCTCCCGCTGTACCCTGTTAAGCAGCTCAGACCATTGCCAGTTGCTACAGAGCTGAGAAAACTGCTAAGGACTCGCCTCATGCCCACACAGCCCCTACTGACTTCCAAGCCCTGTACTTCCAGGACACACCCACATCCCACTGACGTCATATCAAGCCCACCTGACTTCTATCCGCTAAGAAGCAGCCGTGGTCTCCTGGTCTGTCCCACATTTCCTGACTTGTCGGCTGTACCCCTGGTAACTCCACATTGTGAAACACATTGATTTTTCAAATGATGCCTTGCCCTGAGAAACTCTGACTTGAAGACGGGGGACTGCAAACCTAGGTAAACACTGTAGACACCAGCTATGAGACCCTGCGCAGGAGACAAAGACTGAGAAGTTCTGAAGAAGGGAAAGGGTCCTAAGTCCGTGGAAGTGAACTGGGACTCTTAGAGCGCACAGAGGCACTAAGATGATGTCAGGAACTCCAGGACTGTGAGCCTGTCTAGCTCGCTACCCTGAGAGAAGAATGCAGCCCTCACCTGGGTTCCACTGAGAAAACAAAACAAGTAAAACCATGAACAGCAATGACAACAGTCCCACTGTTCTGCCATCTGAGCCCCTGGTGTGTATAGCAGGGGACCAACAGGTAGAGAAGTCCAAACAAACTGTCCCAGCGGGTTTACCTCTGCTTCAGCCGGGTCACCGATCACTGTTCACTGGCCTGGACTGGGTCCCAGGCTCAGCCTCTTCATCTCCACAGCCTCCACTACACTTTGTTCCCACACTTGTCTCCAGAAGGCCTCCAGCCTGGGTTTGCTCTCTAACTCCCACAGAGATGCTCCTCATCCTTGCCTTTGAAATGCCTTGAATTCTGCTGTGACCTCTTTAACCCCCTTTCAGCCGCTCTGTAACCTTCATGGGGCTGATAAAGGAAGAGAATTACTGTGTGCTGTGGGATCTGAGTTAATATTAGTCATTAATATTAGGATAAAAACGCCATGTTTGCCTTGACTGGGGCTACCAAGGCAAACAGTTCAACTTCAAGTTACTGCTGATGAAGCTACCCTGCTTTGTGGACTCATGGCTGTGCAATGAATCCTGACACTCCAGAAAGACACAAGCATGTTCCCCTGCTTCTGACATGACACTCTCAGGGCCATGGTCCTAAGGACCTGGGCAGATAGCGTCTGTGAGCTACAGGGCTCCGTCACACGCTATTATAGTGTCTTAGCCATCTATCTGTGACAAGGCAGTAACTCTGTGAGGGTTGTTTGACTTGAGGTATACATGAACCACCCCAAGGAATGGCACCTGGAGGGCTCTTGACTCTGGGAGCCACACATGTGAGGGGAGCTTGGTGGGCAGGGTTGGAGTGAGAGGGTGACTGTGGGCTGGTGCCAGGATGCTGGGTTCCACAAGCTTCTAAAGGACACTTCATCCTGAGCATAGACTCACTCTCATCCCTGATCGCCATCCAGACAACATCACGTTCGTCAGTCTGGGAAGGTCACGTGTGACCCTTGACCTTATCTGAAAAAATGGTTACCAAGAAGTTTGTGCTTAACTCTGTCACTTTGTGTCTGGAATTTCTTCCCAAGCTTCTCAGTTTTAATGTTGATGTAGTTGCCTTACGTTGGTGAGCCATTATGTAGGCAGAGACTGCTTGTTCGCTTCCCAGCTGCCCAGACCCAAATAATAACACAGAAACTATATTATTTACAACACTGTTCGGTCAAAAGCTTAGGCAAATTTCTTGCTAACTCTTATATCTTAAATTAACCCGTTTCTATTAATTTGTGCATCACCATGAGGCTGTGGCCTACAAAAAAGGTTCTGGCTGGTGGCTTGTGTCTTTCTCCTTTGGCAGCTACATGGCGCGACTGCCTGACTCCGCCTACTTTCTCTCTATATCTCTGTTCGGATTTCCCACCTGACTTCACTCTACTAAGCCATTGGCCGGAACAGCTTCTTTAATAACCAATGATAATAAAACATATTCATAGCATACAGAGGAGATTCCCCAATTGTGAGTGTGTGTGTGTGTGTGTGTGTGTGTGTGTGTGTGTATAGTGGAGCACTATTCAGGAAGACACACACCATAAAACTTTAGTCTCAGAATGTACACATACAAGTATGTGCACACACACACAAAGTTTGACAGCACTGTGTAAGGCCCCTGTGTTTACCTGAGACCCTTAGGACCCTGGAGCCGAGCATCAGACTGGACGACCTCCATCCCAGGGGTCAGGACACAGGCAAGCTAAGAGCAAGCTCCTGGAAGGATCCACTTGGATGAGGTGAGTAGGGGGCCAGAGGATCCCAGTGGGTATTTCCAGGGAGGATCCAGGAGCTCAAGGGGGCATGAGATCAAGGGTAGAACCTGCTCATCCCCGAGGTGCTCTGGAATCCCAGCAGTAGACCTCAGCTGAAGCCAGTGGAAGGTGAGTAACGGGTGGAGGCTTTGTAGCTTGTAAGTTCTGTTGCTAAGACAGCTTAGAATTACTTCTCACACTGTGTTTACCATGCTTATGACTGTTATAATTTTACTTCTGCAGCCGTTTTTCTTCCTTGGAGAAACATAGCCTTAATCTTGTAATAAAAATCAATGAGAAGTTTCGAATCTGTACAAATAAATTCCACACTGGGGTCAGTCTGTGTGCACCAGGGCTCTACCTCATGAGGAACATCAGAGTCATTGACTGGACCCTGGAGCATGGGATGGGAGGGCTCTAGACCTGTCTTTCCAGAATCTTCCGTCATGACTGCAGTCTGCCAAGCAGCTCAAGACAATTACCCTTTTCACACTTAAGCAATGTTACAGCTCCCTTGGAACGATACAGACTCTCCATTTGCCATTTTCGTCTACATTTTTCTGTGATTAATAACCCAGGTGTTTAAAGCGTATTCTCAGGGGTTCTGTGCTAATCTATATGTTGTTTCTAAATCAATAATCGATAACCAATTTGAGCTCATTTAGCACTGATTAGCGGGTGTTCCAAAGTGTATCCTGGTGATCAATTTACGTGAAGGGTGCAGGGTTTTTCTTCCCCCGGGACTCTGCAGCTGTCGGCTGTGCCTCGTCTCCAAGTTTGCTCCAAGACCAAGATGAACAAATCCCATTGCCATTTCCATTCCTAACCCCAGGTCCCTCTTCCTGTCCGTCTTGTCCTATCTGAAAACCGGTGGTATTTGTCTAAGGAGGAGTGGAGCTTTATAAAATAATTCTTCCTTTAAAATCTAAAGAAAATACACTTGATGACCTCTAGGAAGGAAAGGGGCTTTCAGATGTTATGAAAAACTGGTGTCTCTAGAACTTGAGTGGATCCTGGCCACTTCCTGCCCCAAAAGTCAGGTGCATTTAGAGCAGGGCTTGTCCAACCCACTACTCACAGGCAGGTGGAGCTGAAGAGAACTAAGAATGTGGCCCAGGACAAAACTGTAAGCTCACACCGTTAGGAAATTGCTTTCTCTTTTTTAAATCTCCATTGTGTCGTTCTGGATTGTGAACTTCGTAGGGGGCAACATCCTGTCCCGGTGTCAAGATTGGACATTCCTGATGGAAACAACATCCTGTCCCGGTGTCAAGATTGGACATTCCTGATGGAAACAACATCCTGTCCCGGTGTCAAGATTGGACATTCCTGATGGAAACAACATCCTGTCCCAGTGTCAAGATTGGACATTCCTGATGGAAACAACATCCTGTCCCGGTGTCAAGATTGGACATTCCTGATGGAAACAAGGTCTTTGTGAAAGTGACTGAGCTAAGTGAGGTCATTGGCTGGGACCTAATCCTATATGCCGGATCCCTATAAGGATGCGATCAGAATGAAAGCAGCTGCGGAGGCGTGGGAGGATGGAGAATCGCACCAAGCCTGGAGGAAGTCTCCAAGGGACCAGCTCTGTTAGCATTGCACTGTGTTGGGCAGCCTTTGGGACCAGGGCAGGGAAGGAACAAATAGCACTCTCCTGTGTCAGCAAAAAAGAAGTACTTGTCATGAGACTGGACCAAGGGGAAAAGACAAAAGGTGAAGAAAAGCCTGAAGTCTGGTAAGTAAATCCCCACTGCCATAAGCCCCGGGCTGTGTCCTGTGCAATCCCAGCAGCCCCAGCTTCCAAGGCAGGCCATTGCCCCCAGCAGCTAAGTTTCACTCACTTGATAGTGACGGGAGGCGTCTTGAATTGTGTCTGCCCAGACCTCATGGAATTCTGGGGATTTCCAGGAGTAGGTGGTACCACTGTGCTCAGTTTTGTGTCTCCAGGATGCTGAATTGTTGGGTCAGGCTCATCCCAAATATGTACTCTTGATCGCAAAGCCATATTTTATGTGCTAGGTCACTCTGTGATTTTTGAATTTTGCTATAAACTTTAACCTGTACCTTCCTCTTTGCTTGCTCCTGCCCCCATATACCTCCTCCAGAAAAGAGAGGAGGACAGATGCCCCAAAGCTGTTCCCATCAAGTCTGTTAGTCATCCACTCTGGAGCATCAGAGCCAGTCGAGTGGAGAAGGAGCCAATGACCATCCCAGAATCAGAAAGCCAAGGAACCAAAGTTCACGGGATCACAGGGGATCCAGAGATTTGGATCTTCAGAAACAAGGCAGATAATTGACAATCCTGAACTCAAATCCCCAGAGACAGAAACCTGGGAGGCTGCATGTGGGCAAGGCTGGGAGTCTTGGCCTCACTGGACCTCAGCGTTTACTGTGGTGGGACAGCAGGACAGCAGGACAGCGCCGAGGCTCTAGGTGAAACCACAGGAGGAAAAGGAAAACAGGCAGGGTGCCAGGGTGACGTGGGGGTCAGGTGCCAAGAGTGACATCAGGGCCGTGTGCCGAGGTGACAGGAGGGCCGGTTGCCAGGGTGATATGGGGAATCCCGGTGCATGTGTCCTGACTCTGCGCTTATACATAAAATTTATAGCTTCCACGACTGGCACTGAGGATGCAGGAGCTGAGCATCACGCTGCCTCTTCACCATCCAGAAGCCAAAGCTTCCCAGTCACGTTGGTAACACTGGCTAAGTGTAGGCTTTGTTCTGCATGCCCAGATACCTGCTACTTTCAGTGTTTCACACACAGCCTTACAAGGTGAGTGCAGACGAACCCCTGATAGGACAGGGGATGAGTGGGTGCTTTTTACCTCCTAGGTTAGCCTCACCAGTCACATAAGCTGTTCAAGCAGGCTTCATAGCAGATACCCATGCCCAGCTCTGGGTAACATAGACCTACAAGCCACATTCGGCCGGGCAGGACTGTGGCGGTCTCCACGGAGATGCAGGTACACAAAGACACTTAAGGGATTTTCACTGAGGGTGGTATGATCAAGACAAGCCTCTGTCCTTCATGGAGTGGAACCACATTGTCCCTGTACTTGGTTTAAGGATGAAAAACCTGAGATCTGAGGCTGCGGCCATTAGCCCAGGGATGTTGGGACATAATGTGTATCCAAATGTAACATTTGGACTGAAAGTCTCTTGGCTTCTGATGGGATCTCGCAGGACACAGCCAGGAAGGAGAGTTACGGTGCAGCAGGTCCTGGTCTCACACTCTTGTTTATAATTCCACACAGGTCCTGAGCCAAGCCATCAAAGATAAGTGAGAACATATTTTCAATCAAAAGGATACACTGGGCCAGAAAGCAGGTTCATGCTGCAAAGGTGCTTGCAGTGAAGGCTGCTGACCTGAGTCTGATCTCCAGAAAATTCATGTGGTGGATTTTCCCATCTGAATGCCACATATGCACCATGGCACAGATACCTACACACCACACACACACACACACACACACACACACACACACACACAGAGAGAGAGAGAGAGAGAGAGAGAGAGAGAGAGAGAGAATAAATGCACATAAAAATTGGACTTTAAATAATCCTTAAATGTTTAAAAACTAAATTAGAGTGACACATGGAACCTCTATTATGTGCCATTAAGAAGGGTATTTTCAGGGACAATCAAAATATAAATTTTAAAAGCCTTTATTTTTAGAAATTCAAGTTTTATGGCTATTTCCTTGGGTTTGACTTACACAAGAGAGATTACAGTAGTCAGGTTTTCCACACCCTGCCCAGGCTGAAGGCAGTGGGAAGCAAGGGCCCTATCCCACACAGAAGGCTCCCCCGTGGGTAGCACACTGCACTGACAGCCCACAGACAGCATGCTTCATGAGGCTCGGAAGGGAACACAACTCTTCAGGCAGATGGGCGCAGAAAGGCCATTCCGGAGATGGACGCTCATATGTTCTACTGTGAAGCTGCAGTAGGGTTGATGCTGCTAGTTGGCCTCAGACTCTGGCTGGGGAGGAGTAGAGTTGGTTTCCGTGTGCTCATCTCTCCCCCAGTCAGACAAGCTAAAAACTGCCTGTCTGGAGCAGGAGGGCAGCCCCTGGGCCACTGGAAGCCAGGGGTCAGCTGTAGGAGGAAGATGGAGGACCTCACTGGCTCTCCAGAGCAGCAGACTGCCCTCTATGATCAGGGCATCAGCCTGCCTCACAGTCAAGCAGTCCGAGGGCTTGTGGTTCCCATAGTGGGGCCTGCCAGGACGGGTAGCTACTTCCTCATTCTTTCTTCCAGCTGATGTGACTGGAGCAGCAGAGAGGACAGAGCTTCAGGGGGCAGCGCGCTGGAGCATGGGAACACATCTGGGTCCCGGTGTGTCTCAGGTGGATATTAATCGTCACCCTTGCTTACAGCAGTCAAGTCAATATCCAAACGCATCCATAAGGACGTCAGAGACACATTGATAACTTTCTTTCTTCATCTCTGAAAGTCGTGAGACTCTCCAGAGCACTTATAAAATTGCATGTCACTTTCCTAAGCTTAAAATGATTTGGAGCAGAAGCCCATCGCCTCGTTTGTCTCCCCAGCCAGTCAATAAATCTGACAGATGTCCCTGAGTTATAGCTGGAGTGTTGGATCTTCAGAGTACAAGCCACTTGCTTCGTTCCTAAGAAGGAACACACGTGCCTCCCAGAAGCCCAGGGTGGGAGAGATTTCTCTGCGGGTTCTTGGTCACGTGCAAGCCTCGTTCCTTCTGTCATAAAGCTCGATTATGAGGCTGTAAAAGAAGTAGGTGGAGAATGTTTTTTGCGAGAGCCAACAGCGAGAGGAAGAGCGTCAGCGGAGAGAGGGAATCGCTCCCCAAGGAGGTGAACCCGGCGTGTGGAATTGATGAAGACAGTCGAGGACGCTGGGGGCAGGTAATTGCTAAACAAGTCAGAACCGTTCCCATAACCGGCTTGCCACTGGGGAGAGATGGGAAGCGAATAGCTTCGAGTAATCTACCCAGGATGCCAGAGTGCCTTGGAGACCAGCTTCCTTCTCGTGTTTGCAAGTGTGCTCTGGGGACAAAAGCAAAGCCATCTTTGTCCAGCACGATGGCCCCGAGGCTTGCCCTGTGCATGCGAGCCTGGCTGATCTTCTTCAGGACAGGGAATGGCTGCTTTGGGGTACAGTGTTTCGTGCTGACAGCACAGAACAGGCGAGAGACAGACAATGAGATGATGGAGGCCACGTTAGCCTTGCACTGCTGCGACAAAATGCCTGAGATCATCACCTTCAAGGACGACAGAGTTGCCTGGGCTCATGTTCACAGACACCAGTCTGTTGTTGGGCCCTGATGCTTTGGGGCCAGAGCAGCCTGGCAGGATCATGTGTAGGGTAGGCTGTTCACATCATGGAGGTCTAAGAGACCAACCTAGATACAGGAAACAGTGGAGCCTAAATTTTCCTTCAAGGGCAGAACTCAACTCCCGCCCCTGACCCCATGACCTCACTTTCTATCCAAGCCCCAAAGAGTTCACCTCTTCCCAACAGTGAACAGGCTGGTGACAGAGCTATCAACATGGGGCGTTCTAGGGACATTTAAAATGCAAGTGAGAGTAGAAACATAGGCCGTTTCCTAGGAGGTAAACTCAGATTAAAGTTGACTTAGAAAGGAATATTCTGGAAACACTTGCATGTGTTCATCTGAAGAAACATAAGGATAGGTTCATCGATACATTGGTTCAAGCAAAAAATAAAAGCACGTTGGATGCCCGTCTATGGAGAATGGGCACATACTGAGGGGATGGCACTATGTATGCAGCCCTAAAAATGGATGGACCACAGACATGGATCTGGTGGATCAAAAATGAAGGCTTGGAAGGCAGACACAGAGGGAGGCTGCTGTTGCAAGAAGTATGACTGTGCTGGCTACCTTTAATTGTGAATGTGACAACCTAGGGTCACGTGTGAAGAGACGCTCAGTGAGGGATTATCTACACTGAGTTAGCCAGTAGGATGTCTGAATGTGGCTGTCTTAATTAAGGTAATTGGTGTGGGAAGACACCGTCCACCACAGGCAGCACCATTCTCTAGGCAGGGGTTCCTGAACTGTGTGACTAGAGAAATAGAGCATGCATTTCTCTCTGTTCTGGACTGTGGTATTTTGCAGCCAGATGTAAAGCCTGTTTTTCTGACTTTCCTGGGTTGGTGGATTGTAACCTGGGATTGTGAGTGGAGATAAAGTCTTTTCTCCTTGAATCTGTTTTATCACAACGATAGCATACAAGCCAAAGTGGTGACTTTGACTTCAAGCAAGCAGGATTCCAGCCAAAGAGAAAGGAGATGAGCAATGAGGGGAACATGGTGGCTCACTGTGGTGGCACCAGAGAGGTGGTGACAGCTGGGAAGGTCACCCAAATATATTTATGATTCTCAGGCTCCCAGGCATGCTTAGAGGAGGCATGAGTCCAGGGCAGCCATCCATGTGGGTGAGAGCCCGGGAAGGGAGCAATGAAACAGTGACATGCCCAGCTCTGGATGCCTGGGGACTGTCCCACCTTGGCACGCAGGAGCCTCTCTTAATGCTCTTGGCAAGTCATGCTTGTTGAGTACAGTCTCAATGAGATGGGACATTTCACAATCAAAACTGACAGTGTCTGTGACTGACACCAAAATTGCTATCTACTATCTCCAGCAGTAAGAAGAACTTAGAGCTGTGTGAATTCTATCGCAATCCTGGACGTCAGACCAAGGAGCCAGAAATGAGGAAACTCGATACGGTTGACAATGGAAATTTAGAATCATATGCAGATTCACGAGAGAACACAAACAACAGCAGACCGTGATGCTTAGGAAGGAAGTGGGCTCATGCGGCACCCTGGGCAGGCAAGCAAGCATCCCCTCCCACACAAGGGAAACACAGGGGTGCTGCTGGAGCCTCAGGTGGAGCACAGCCATTGACTGCTGTGTACGGGTGTGGGCACATGTGTGTGCAGATGCACTTGTGTGCAATGTGGAAGTGTGCAGGATTTCTTACCGGGACCGAGAATTCCTGTCCACTTAAGCAAGGCTGTCTGCTCACTAACCCTATGGATCTGCTGGTCTCTATCTAACCAGAGCTGGGGCTACAAGTGTGCCCTGCAATGCCCAGATTCCTGCATGAGTTCTGGGGATCGAATTCAGATCCGTGCATTTGCATAGCAAGCGTCTTGCTGATTGGCTCAGCCAGGCTGACTCCCTGAGCCCAGGCCTTATAAGAGAAGGTGAGGTGGGCTTGCCTGTGCCTACAATGCTGCTTCATAGAGCATTGTACCTACAGAGCTTAAAAGCCATGGACATGTCACTTACAGTTCCCAAAGCTGGAGATCTGAGATGAAGGGGTCATCGGGACAGCAGGCAGAGTGCCTGGCAAGGTCCGTTCCTCCTGGAGGCCTCCTGCCTACTGCAGCTTCATGTGGAGGGAGGGGCTGTGAGCAGAAGGCACTGATTTCTGTCACGGAGGCTATCAAAGACCCCTCATACTCTCTCTGGAAGGATGGATCTAGCATATGGGTTTCAGGGAGCCACCCACATCTGGACCTAACATTCTTCTGTGCCTCTCTTGTGCCTGAAGGTCCCGAATACTAGAAAGTTGGTGAGCCTGGGCACGGGGACATTTGAGAGCGGCTCATAGGGTCACGTGGGTCGTGTAGCCTGGTCCCTGTGTCTGCAGTTAAAACAGTCACACTCCGAGCTGACAGCGCAGAGCACGGCCCAGCGATGTGTTTTCACAGGGTTGGAAATCCCTGCAGCCCTTGAGATTGGCTCAGGAGGTGGAGATGCCCCCAGCTCTTTTATGTTGTAAGCCAGGAAGTGACAGTTTCTCCAGATCCCAGACCCCCTCTGAACTGAAGAAGGGGGTGGCTATAAATATAATTTGATAAAAGCTGTCAACTTTTAATAAAAACAGGTGTCCCAGCTTTGCAGTGTCTTCGTTTCTGCGTCCCTGGGACTCGTTCCAATTTCATAATGTTGTCAACTCCAAAATGAATTACCTTCTACAAGATAAAGTGAGGTTCTTGGGGAGTTGGAGGACCAGAGTTCTGAGTAAGGTTTACCCCCACCCCACCCCCACATACACACATGACAAGGAACACCCCAGACTGGAACATGTCTTAGCCTGGATGCGGTCCATGAAGTAAGTCTTCAGAGAAAACCCAGTCGAGGGTCTTGTAACTATCTGTAACACTAGAGGCACCAGTTCTGGGCAAGCAGACATCACGGGCTTCTCACCCAAATGGCCAGAATCCTCTAGGTGCCTTTGTTTTTCTGAGGCCCAGCCCAGCCCCAGCATCCCCTGCCCATATTCTGAAGATGGCAGGCACAGATGGTCCCAGGGTAGCAGTCACTTTTCTGACACAAAACACCCGACAGAGTCAGCTGAAGGAAGAAGTCCGGGGTGCCGTCCATCCTGGCAGCAGGACTGTGACAGGGTCCAGTCACGCCACATCGTGTCTGCAGTCAGGGAGCAGCCAGTGCCAGGGTTTAACTCAGCCCTCTTCCCCTTTCTATGCTGTCCAGAAATCTAGCACATGGGGTGGTGGTGCCTGAATTTGGGGTGGACCTGCTCTCCCATTAACCAAATCTAGAAATTCCCTCCCAGACTTCCTGGAAAGTGTTTCCATGGTTACTTTAAATCCCTTTAAGTTGGCAAGATTGGTCTTGATCACCCTTGGTAGGTCAGCAGGATGCAGGGTGGGTCCCTTTGCCTCTTTCGGCCAGCATGGACTCCACCTGCACAAGAGGGTGAAGAGATGAATGCTTTCATACCAACAGAATGTTCCTATGCGGCCAACTGGTGGGCTCACACCGCACAAAGCCAGAATGCAGGTGACCCAGGGTGAATAAAACACAGGCTTGCTGGAGACGCTTCTCCCAGCAAGACCCAGGTGAGGCCTCCTCCCCACCTCCCTGCATCTCCAGCTAAGGACACAGCCCCTCCCTGGAGTGGTGGCAAGGGTTCCTGCATGCTTGGCCAAGAGCCAGAGCAGGAAGTGACTGATCGCTACAGTGACTGCTGAGTGACCACATTGTCCAGCTCACGTGGACTTTGGGAGGCACAGCCATGAAACCAAATGGCCATGTTCGGCCGCCTCTGACCCTTTGTTCCCGAGCAGCTTGCCTCTGAGCTCTGCCTACCCTGCACTTCATTTTCTCAGTTTTTTTTTTTCTGGGAAGGAGACTCAGCCGTTGAGAGCTCTGGCATCCTGCCTTCAGAAGTCGGGGTCTCTCAGAAACTGCACCTCTGTCTGCTTCCCTTAATTCTTCTTTTCAAGAAACCTCTCTGCTCCGTTTCCTACAGATGCCTATGGGGGAAGTGTGTGAGGGGTGTGTGAGAAAGAGTGTGTATCTGTGAGTGTGCGTGTATGAGTGGCGTGAGTGTGTGTACGTGTGTGGGAGTGTGTATGTGTGTGAGGATATGGGGGTGTGTGTGTAGATGGTGGCCAGTCTCGGGTGGCCAGTCACTCTTTCTCAGTCACTCTCCCCCTTACTCTTTGAGATGGGGTCTCTCACTGAACCTGACGCTCACAGACGTCTCAAAGGACTGGGGAACCCCAGGGGTCCTCCAGAATCTGCTTCCTAGCACCAGGATTGACAGATGTGGGCTGCCCCACTTAGCTTTTCTGTAGGTTCTGGGACCAAACTCTGTCTGTGTTTGCATGGCAGGTACTTCAAAGGAGCACACACAACACAAAGATTAAAGAATGACCCAAGGCAAGGATTACTATAAATTCTCTAAATGGCATCCAGAAGGAATAGAAAAGGTGAACTGACCAATTGTGAAGCAGAAGATTGAAGAGTGGGCTAAAATAGAACCTGACAAGAACCTTGCTCAGGTCAGTCCACAGTTACAGCGTGGGTAGCAGGTGACAGGAAAATA